AAAAAAAAAAAAAAAAAGAAGTGCTGATTGTTAGTTATGTGTCCTGCTTAAAAATAATTAGAAAATGTAAATATTTATTATTTAAATATACAAAAGTAGGCAATATCTCCTCAAGGGACCCAAACAGAGAGAATACTAATCAAGTAATGTGTCTGCTAAAGGGTTGGAGACCACTGATCTGAAGGCTGTGTGAGGAGTGGCTCTTTTAGCAGAGGTCCCTCACTGGTGCCTGAAGTCATCCCAGGCCTCCGAATGGAGGAATGAATCTGGGAAGGTCTCGGTTATACCTGTTTTGTTGTTTTTGAATTCTTTGTGATATACTTCATGTTTGATGTCTACCATGGACAAATTCTGTGGGTCAGAACTGCTCTTAAAATGATTCAGGCTGGCAGGGTGTGATAGGTCACATCTGTAACTCCAGCACTTTGGGAGGCCAAGGCAGGAGGATCACTTGAGCCCAGGAGTTTGAGACCAGCCTGGGTGATACAAGACCCTGTCTCTACAAAAAGTTAAAATAATTAGGCTTGGCGCGGTGGCTCACGCCTTTAATCTTAGCACTGTGGGAGGCCGAGGCAGGTGGATTGCCTGAGCTCACAGGTTTGAGACCAGCCTAAGCCAGAGTGAGACCTCATCTCAAAAAATAGCTGGGCACTGTGGCGGGTGCTTGTAGTCCCAGCTACTCCGGAGCCTGAGGCAAAAGAAGCACTTAAGCCCAAGAGTTTGAGGTTGCTGTGAGTTATGATGTCATATCACTCTACTGAGGACGACAAAATGAGACTCTGTCTCAAAAAACAAATAAAAATAAATAAATAGTAAAAAAAAAAAATAATTAGCTGGGCATGGTGATGTATGCCTGTAGTCCTACCTACTTGGGAGGTTGAGGTAGGAGGATTGCTTGAACCCAGGAGTTTAAGGTTGTAGTGAGCTATGATGATGCCACTGTACTCCAGCCTGGGCAACAGAGTGACACTATTTAAAAAAAATTTTTTTCAGACTATAGTTTAAAACTCAACTATATGAATTATGTAAAAAATAGAATTCTAATGTGAGCAGGAGAGAGATTTGGTAACTCATGTGGCACTCTGTGCAAACCCCAAAGATATTCTTATAAATTTGATTCATGCACTAAATTTACTTGAACCAATTATAGTAACTCAGAACCAAGTCATTTTTATTTCTTTCTACATATATTCTCAAGAAGCATTTCTTTTCTTTTCTTTTCCTTTTTTTTTTTTTTTTTGAGAGAGAGTCTCACTTTGTCACCCTCTGTAGAGTACAATGATGTCATAGCACACAGCAACCTCAAACTCTTGGACTCAAGCAATTCTTTTGTCCCAGCCTCCCAAAGTACCTGGGACTACAGGTGCCTGCTACAATGCCCGGCTTTTCTTTGTTGTTGTTGTTGTTGTTTGTTTGTTTAGCAGGCCTAGGCTGGGTTCAAACCTACCAGCCCTGGTGCATGTGGCTGGCACTCTAACCACTGAGCTATGGGTGCCAAGTCTCAAGAGGCATTTTAAAGTGGATTTTTGTGTGCATTTAAATTGAATTTTGCCATTGCTTGGTGTTGTGTTTGATACATAAGTGTTGTATTTATTTTTTATTTTATTTTGTTTTTGAGACAGAATCTCTCTTTGTCACCCTTGGTAGAGTGCTATGGCATCATAGTTCACAGCAACCTCAAACTGTTGGACAGTGCCCAGTTATTTTTAGAGGCAGGGTGTCGCTCTGGCTCAGGCTGGTTTCAAACCTGTGAGCTCAGAGCAGTCTCCCCACCTTGGCCTCCCAGAGTGCTAGGATTACAGGCATAAGCCACTATTACATGGGATTTATTTATTTATTTATTTTGAGGCAGAGACTCAAGCTGTCATCCTGGATAGAGTGCCATGATGTGATAGCTCACAGCAACCTCCAGCTTGGGTTCAAGCCATCTTCTTGTCTCAGTTTTTCTATTTTTAGTAGAGCTGGAGGTCTCACATTTTGCTCAGGCTGGCCTCGAACTTGTGAGCTCAAGTTATCCACCTGCCTCAGCCTCCCAGAGTGCTAGGTTTATAGGCGTGAGCCACTGCACCCAGCCTACGTGGGATTGCCTAACTGAAAAATTTGATGTGTATTGGAACTTCTGACAACTGTATTGAATGACTTCCAGTGGTAGTATCTTGGGTTAAATTATTGCTCCAATAGCCATTAGAGTAGATTTTATGCTATTGACTATGTATTAATATCAAGAAATTTACACCACAGCAGATCTTGAAGTCCCTGCTCTGATACCTAGCAGTGACGTACTCAGGCCCTTTTTAATAATGTATCATAAGTCCAATTTCAGAGATTATCTTTCTTATATCAGAAAAAAGTAGTTCTTTGTGTTGATTCTTTCTTACAGAAAGCATAACCCCTACTGTAGAGCTAAATGCACTGTGCATGAAACTTGGAAAAAAACCAATGTATAAGCCTGTAGACCCTTACTCTCGGATGCAGTCCACCTATAACTACAACATGAGAGGAGGTGCTTACCCCCCAAGGTATGTGTGAGCTTGGGTTTTTTGGTACAGTATAGGTGAAAATAAAGTTGTTCTTTTACATAAAATAATATCAGTAGATCTGTGGCGTAATTGTACTTGTGACTTTGGAACTGTGTCTTGGTGCACTTAAAACACTGTTGGAAAGTGCCTGAGCTTAATTCTCCCTAGCAAGGGTGGTTCATCCCCACAAGGGAGTCTGATTAAGGATCACTTTGTAACTGCTTTGTGTAACTGAATCATATTTGAATGTGATTTTTGTCATACCATGATTCTTAGCATTTGAAGATTTTGTGATGATTGTTTATTGGGTATTTTTTGACTTTTGAACTTGTGTGCTTTGTAAGTGCAATAAAATGTTAATTGTAACCTGAAAAATGCTATACGTTGAAAACCTGCTACTGGGGATAATATGATATTAGTGGATGGATTGATGACCGAAATGGAAGTCTTTTATTTCTCTGCCCTGCTTTGGAAGCCAAAGCCATTTTAAAAATATAAATGCTGGGCTCGGCGCCTATAGCTCAACCGGCTAAGGCGCCAGCCACGTACACCTAAGGTGGCGGGTTCGAATCCCCAGCCCGGACCCGCCAAACAA